GTCGGTATGAATGCCTTTGCAGGTCGCAGGCACATGAAACGCTTTCAAATGTTCATGTAAATGGTTGTGATGTGTTGATATGTGTTTTTGTTCCAAAGAGAAACTATTTTCTAGTTGTGAGGATTGTTGCCTTTAGGTGAATGTTCGACTGAGCACCATTTCATCAGATATTGGTGAGTGAAGCCTCCTTACAGTCTTTTTTTTTTTAATCTCTGAAAATGTCATCTTCTTGCAAAAAACGATTCAACTAAATCCTTTCTGGAAAAACAGTTTTATTGTTATATCTGCAATATAGTTTGAGCAATCATTCTGTATTTGTACTTAGACTTGTGTGTATGGAAATGATATAACAAAAAGTGCTTAATTTTTATAGCATGCTCTTTATGCTGGTTATTGCTAATTGGAATGGAAATAGCCACTATTTTGCCATGCAGTATATTCCTAACAATTTTTTTAGATACTCTTTAGTTAACCATTACTCTTAAGATTATATGTAAATCTTGGTTTGATAACATGTTGATGTGCCATAATACTTTATGCAATCAGGTACTTGTAATGTGCAGTTTACACCCAATCTGATTTAAAGATTTCAAATATATAGCCTAAATATGCAAGGTTTAGCCTTACCGAGAAAAAAAAAGTTTTCTCGGTTCTTTTAGCATGTGCTGGTGCTTGATTTCTGGTACATATTTTTATGTACAGCTACCGGCAGCCATGCCGGACCCCCTTATGAGCCAGTTCAAATTATAGTTACATTTTCTGATTCCACATCAAAGCAACAAATATATCTTTACTTTTTAAAGCTGCATAGAGGCGGTCTAAATAGTCAGATGTTTACTAAAATTTTTAAATGATGAGCAGAAAATATTTCAGTAATAATACCCCAAAATTGTATCACTGTCTGTCTCAGCAATACTTTTCACCCAATACAAACGTGTGTGCATGACGTCACCACTAGTAGGCGACACTGTACGACAGTTTACCCTTAGATGAAATTTTTGTATCTGAAAGAATAGCACATAGCAAAGTCATACAAGAACAAAGCTTTTATATTTTTGATTGTGTTATTATGTGCATTTGTGTATTCTAGCAGTGCATGTGTTATGGTCAGCACCATATATTTTTCACTGACTTTAATTTCACATTATTTTTGTCTTACCTTGCCTTGCCACTAAATTCCATCTATTATACCTGTGCAATATATATATATATATATTTTACACTTAAATTGTATATTCTTAAATACAAGCAAGTTTAATACTAATAATGTTCCTTGAAACTGTGGAATTTGGAGGTTTCCAACATGACTCGGCATGTTTTACAAGATAACTTATAGATTTTAATTGTTATTTTCTTCATCTTGTGCTAAAAAGTTCCATATTTTTCAGTCATAACTGTTTTTAAAAATCAATTTCTTAAGGTAAAAAAAAAAAGGAGTCACCAGTAGAGATCTATTAATAGGCTTTTTTAATAGTAATATTTTCAATGTTGCAGTTGAAATTTAACATGTTGATTTTATTCATACAGTTGTTAAAGCATCTTTATTATCAGTTTAGAAAATATTGTAATTTGTGGTATATCTCAAATTATCAAATTTAAATGTAGTAATATTGAAGAGTATTGATTGTTCTCACTGTATACATCTGTGCAAAATCAAAAAGGAGCAGTTAAATGCAGTCTTCTCTAAAGTTATGTTAAAGGGATACTCCACCCCAAAATGAAAATTTTGTCATTAATCACTTACCCCCATGTCGTTCCAAACCCGTAAAAGCTTCTTTCGTCTTCGGAACACAATTTAAGATATTTTGGATGAAAACCGGGAGGCTTGTGACTGTCCCATTGACTGCCAAGTAAATTACACTGTCAAGGTCCAGAAAAGTATGAAAAGCATCGTCAGAATAGTCCAT